TAGTGTGGACTGAGTCACCAACAACCGCTGTGTCACGTACCACCGCAAATATCCAATAGGAAAATTCAACTGCAGTAGCCACCGTTCAACCTGAAGAGGGCAGCACTAAGACGTTTTTACACCATATATTGTAGAAATAGAACACTTTATAAACAAATGGCAAAACTCAAATCAACGACTGGTATTAATAAAGATCCATTCTTACAGATCATTAACTAAAAAAAGTAGGTTAAGTGTTTAGTTACTCTTTAAGGACCTCAACAAGACACTTTTGGCATAAATCTGCAGAGTATAAGAGAACGCATAAAATAATCAATAATCCAAAAACAGACAATAATTCACGAACAGACAATAATCCACATGGACATTGTGCTATGGATGTGGATCGAATACATTGCCAAATATTCACAGGATATGTATGCCATTTGCTATTATTTAATGTGAAATAGTGCTTCTCTCGTCTGTTGTCTAGAAGCAAAGTGAAGTGAAGGGGTGGGGGGGGGCTGTTTTCCTCTGGCCAACGAAGGAACAGTGATTACAAAACAAATTGGATCAAAACATTAAGAGTATTTGTCCATTTCCATCTATTTGGAAGTCGAAGTATTCACACCGGTTTGGAGACGAGATGTTGAGGATCAGATCCGATGGCTGTCTTGTCGATGAGGCCAGCACTTAAGGATGAGTCGGGATGGGTCCAGGCGCAGGTCAATAGCGTAGACGCCATCCTTCTTTTGATGTACCAAGTACATCAGGATTTACGGGACGTGTTCCCGGTTCTGGCTGATCTAAACTATGTAGCCTAATTTTGAATTAAGGAAGTCTATTGTGTGTAATGTGAATGCTAGGCCAAAGTGATGTGTTTTTAGTCTAGATTTGAACTGACAGAGTGTGTCTGCTTCCCGGACAATGTTAGTAAGATTGTTCCAGAGTTTTGGTGCTAAATAGGAAAAGGATCTACCGCCAGCAGTCGATTTCAATATTCTTGGTATTATCAACTGGCAGGAGTTTTGAGATCGGTAATAGGCGTGAAGGACTATAATGCATTTAGAGCTCACTCAAGTACTGGGGATCTAAACAATTTAGTGCTTTGTAAGTAATCAGCAATATTTTAAAATGTATACGATGTTTAATAGGCAGCCAATGCAGGGTCGACAGAACCAGGCTTAAATGGTCATGTGGTTGGATATTCCAACAGGACAATGATCCAAAAATTTGCCATGGCCATCCCATCCCCTGACCTTAAACAAACAATAAAAATAAATAAATAAATAAATAAATAAATAAAATCAAGGATTGTTGAAATGTTCTCTTGTATCTTGCCTGGTGTTCTCCAACCTTATCAGACATAATAGGAGAATACTCAGGCTTGCAAAAGGTTTATTCAAAAATTACACTTGTTTTAATGTCTTGACTAACATACTAACGCACATGTAAAGTACTTGATTTTACTATAAATGTAATATTAAATAACAGTTAAAAGTGAATATTTTTTTAAACGCACTAAATTTAAATGTACTGAACACACACACTGTACTTTTAACAAACCATGCTAATAATTTTCAATTAAAATGCATTATTCTTTTACGTGCTCTGCTGTAGGTTCTATACAGGTGAAACATTCTCACTTTTCCACTTAGCATGTGATTCCAGACTGAAAAGGCTGAGCGTTACAATTTGACATTAAATGTAACCCGGGAAATACATTCAACAAAACTGAGGATTTTCGATTTTTAAAACACCGAGACAAATAGCAGTCCCAAACTTTTAGGAAATACAATTAATATGAGCCACCAGTCATTTACGAATAAATATAACAAAGTGAAAAATTGGCCATTAGAGGTTATGAAAACCACAATGTTAAAGCTCCAGTCCATAACTTATTTGGGTTAAATTAAACTTCAAGTTTGAGAAAGTACGTACATAACCAGTATTAAAAACGATCTGCTTGCCTTGACTGAATTCAAAACTGTGAGCTAATAATGTTTTTAAATCCCAATCGTAGATATTCAGATAGATATTTGTTATCTGCTCATATTCGATTTCACCAGTGAACACCCAAATACCTGCGTGAAAATCCTGAATTACTACAAATGAAAATTAGTGGTATTTTTTGTTTTCTTCATGACAACTTGACATTTCTCCTCACATTAGCATCACCCTACATTTAATTTCTGATAACCTAGTTCAAAGCTTGACCATCTCGGTCACTTTTTGCTGACAAATTTTCAAATTGTTTGAAACTTTTGCTGCCTAACTCCCTGCAAGATAATATAGTAATCTCTTCAATAAAGCACTTTCATGGAAAAAATTAATAATAATATTACCCACACAGAAAGGAGTCTTAAACATTTATTTTGTGAAACCATGCAATTTGAATAAAGCACTGAATTGATCAGAACTCCAGTTGGCTATGCGTTACGCAAAATTGGCATGGGCAGTTTGCTGGAAACCTGTGAGGGGTTTCCAATTTACCCCTGGAGGCTTGGGCGGCAGGCTTCACTGGAGGTAAACTTCACTTGAGGCTTGAACAGTTGGGCGGAAAACTTCACTGGAGCCTTAGGCCATTCAGCAGTAAGCTTCATTGGAGGCTTGGGCGGTTCTGCAGCAAGCTTCACTGGAGGCTTGGGGGCAGGCTTCATTGGAGGCATGAACAGTTTGGCAGAAAGCTTCACTGGATTCCTGGGCAGTTCGGCAGAAATCTTCACTTCAGGCTTGGGCGGGTAGATGGCAGGCTTCCTTGGAGGCGCAAGCGGTTCAGCAGCAGGATTCACTGGTTGCTTGGAGGGATCTGAAACTAGCCTCGCTGGAGGCACGGGCAGTTTAGCGGCAGGGCTCACCAGAGGCTCGGGCAGTCCGGGCCCAGGGTTGACTGGAGGCTCGGGCAGTTCGGGCGCAGGGTTGACCGGAGGCTCGGGCAGTTCGGGCGCAGGGTTGACCGGAGGCTCGGGCAGTTCGGGCGCAGGGTTCACCGGAGGCTCGGGCAGTTCGGGCGCAGGGTTGACCGGAGGCTCGGGCAGTTCGGGCGCAGGGTTCACCGGAGGCTCGGGCAGTTCGGGCGCAGGGTTCACAGGAGGCTCGGGCAGTTCGGGCGCAGGGTTCACCGGAGGCTCGGGCAGTTCGGGCGCAGGGTTCACCGGAGGCTCGGGCAGTTCGGGCGCAGGGTTCACCGGAGGCTCGGGCAGTTCGGGCGCAGGTTCACCGGAGGCTCGGGCAGTTCAGGGGCAGGCTTCACTGGAGGCCCTGCCAGTTCGCAGGCAGGCTTGACTGGAGGCCCGGCCAGTTCGCAGGCAGGCTTGACTGGAGGCCCGGCCAGTTCGCAGGCAGGCTTGACTGGAGGCCCGGCCAGTTTGACATCAGGTTTTACTGGAAGCATGGACAGTTCAGCAGCGGGCTTCATTGGAGGCTTGAATAGTTTGGCGGCAAGCATCACTGGAGGCTTGGGCACAGACTTAACTGGAGTGATAAAATTATAAAAGACAAACTGAAGAAAAAACTAGAAAGCGGACCCCAAACACTACGACAATACTAGAAGATAACACATACCTGTATTTGGAGCCATACACTGACGTCCACGTCCATTGCTGTAGCATTTCTCATTGTTCGGACAGTCACTGTCATAGGCACACAGAACGGCACACTTACCTGCACCAGATTTTTCACTTCGGCACTCTGACTTTGCTGTTATATACAGATAGGAGACAAAGAAACCTCACTGAATACAGAAGGTGTAATCCACACAAAAAAACTGACAACATTTAAAAACCATTTTGCTTATGGAAGCTTGTTTCCACTTCCAAAAAAAGAAAAGAAAAAGAAAAAAACTTGACTAATTGACTCAATTTACCAGTTTTTCTTAGAATTATGAGAAGGCACAACTACCCCTCTTTTTATTCTTCATGGCATAAACAAGCTTCCATAAGAGTTCAAACAGCACTGTGATCACAAGATTCAGTGCATCACGCTATCAACTGCAAATTTCAAAGCTGCATTCAGGCTCGGGGTGGGACTCAGCCAGATGCGCTAAATGCTCAGACATGTGGTTAAACACAGAAGAGTTCTGGTATGTTTTATATCTTAACAAGAATACAAAGAACTAGCAAAAACCCATGTAGTCTACTTTGTAAAATACACAGACTATCAAAATGCCAACTTCATCCAAGTCCTTAAGTCAACTTGACAATATTTTTGACACAATTTTCTACACATTGCATCATAATTAGGTTTAATCTAATCTTAAAACATTGTCCAAAATGAATGTCCCAAGTTGCTCATACAAAGTTTTAAAATAAATATTTATTTTGGATAGTTTCTCTACATAAAACATTCATCTGTCATAAATCTTACAAAGCTATAATTAGCTTACCGCTAAATCATGTCAAATCAGATTCAAACACTGTACAATGCTGTAATAATCTCACTGTGAAGGCTACGTGTCAAGTGTAGGAAACGCGTCATACTTAGGAACTTGGAACAAAGCATTTCTTCGAACTTTATAATTAAGTTAAAAGATCGTCTCACCTGCGACTGCAAGTCCAGTGTCTGTTGTGCTCAAACATGCACACAAACACAATAAAACAGAAATCAACGAGCAGTAACTGTGAGTTGGCATCCTCTTGACCTGCAATCTCACAAACTCAAATTAAATAAGCGTTAGCACACACAACTACAATAAAAAATGGCGTTACTGCATCAAAACATCTGCTGAATCCCACTAAAAACGCAGTGAAATGGTTTAAAGTGCACGCATTTTTTTTAAGGTCCAATGATGTCTAGTCTAGTCAACTCTAACCCAAATGAAACTCACCTGCAGCTTTCTTGACTAATCTTGAAGACCTTGATTAGCTTGTTCAGGTGTTTTTGATCAGGGTTGGAGGAGGGGGTCATTGCATTCGCATATGATAATAATTAGACGATTGTTATTTTCCATGGCAACACTATCAAAGCCTAGGATGATGCAACAGTGGTTCAGCATTCACGTGGTACAAGTCGGAGCTCTCAGAAAATCCCAAGTCCAAGTTGTAATGATTAAACTCCAAGACACACCTAAAGGGTAACCCTGGTCAGAGCCTGACTCCACCCACTGGCAGTATTTGAAAAATGCTGGAAAAGTGGGCAGTGCCCAGCGGAGGGGGGCGTGCACCTGAGACGCATCTCTTTGTATGGAACTTGCCTAAGGCCCCGTCCACACTACTGCGTTTTCGTTTAAAAACGGAGAATTAAAACGAAAACGATCTCCGTCCACACTAGTGTTTTACCTGCGTATTAGAATTTATCTCTGTCCACACTAAAACGACTGAAAAAGTGGATCACGTGACCATTCACCAACACTGGGCATGCGCGCGCCGGTGTAAACAGTGGTTGGCGAATCAGGGAAAGATACGTCATGACTGATGACACCCAATCATAGAGCCGAGCGTGAGCCTCTGCGTCATCGTTTGTAAACTCCTCCGTTTTGTCTCGTCCACACTAAAACGCCCTCCGGAGATTCAAAACGCAGCTGCAGCGTTTCTAAACTTCTCCGTTTTAGGTCTTCGTTTTTCCCGTTTTAGTGTGGACGGGAGGTGCAAACGTAGCAAAAGGTCTCCGTTTTTAAACGAAAACGCAGTAGTGTGGACTGAGTCACCAACAACCGCTGTGTCACGTACCACCGCAAATATCCAATAGGAAAATTCAACTGCAGTAGCCACCGTTCAACCTGAAGAGGGCAGCACTAAGACGTTTTTACACCATATATTGTAGAAATAGAACACTTTATAAACAAATGGCAAAACTCAAATCAACGACTGGTATTAATAAAGATCCATTCTTACAGATCATTAACTAAAAAAAGTAGGTTAAGTGTTTAGTTACTCTTTAAGGACCTCAACAAGACACTTTTGGCATAAATCTGCAGAGTATAAAGAGAACGCATAAAATAATCAATAATCCAAAAACAGACAATAATTCATGAACAGACAATAATCCACATGGACATTGTGCTATGGATGTGGATCGAATACATTGCCAAATATTCACAGGATATGTATGCCATTTGCTATTATTTAATGTGAAATAGTGCTTCTCTCGTCTGTTGTCTAGAAGCAGAAGTGAAGTGAAGGGGGTGGGGGGGGGCTGTTTTCCTCTGGCCAACGAAGGAACAGTGATTACAAAACAAATTGGATCAAAACATTAAGAGTATTTGTCCATTTCCATCTATTTGGAAGTCGAAGTATTCACACCGGTTTGGAGACGAGATGTTGAGGATCAGATCCGATGGCTGTCTTGTCGATGAGGCCAGCACTTAAGGATGAGTCGGGATGGGTCCAGGCGCAGGTCAATAGCGTAGACGCCATCCTTCTTTTGATGTACCAAGTACATCAGGATTTACGGGACGTGTTCCCGGTTCTGGCTGATCTAAACTATGTAGCCTAATTTTGAATTAAGGAAGTCTATTGTGTGTAATGTGAATGCTAGGCCAAAGTGATGTGTTTTTAGTCTAGATTTGAACTGACAGAGTGTGTCTGCTTCCCGGACAATGTTAGTAAGATTGTTCCAGAGTTTTGGTGCTAAATAGGAAAAGGATCTACCGCCAGCAGTCGATTTCAATATTCTTGGTATTATCAACTGGCAGGAGTTTTGAGATCGCAATAGGCGTGAAGGACTATAATGCATTTAGAGCTCACTCAAGTACTGGGGATCTAAACAATTTAGTGCTTTGTAAGTAATCAGCAATATTTTAAAATGTATACGATGTTTAATAGGCAGCCAATGCAGGGTCGACAGAACCAGGCTTAAATGGTCATGTGGTTGGATATTCCATCAGGACAATGATCCAAAAATTTGCCATGGCCATCCCGTCCCCTGACCTTAAACAAACAATAAAAAATAAATAAATAAATAAATAAAATCAAGGATTGTTGAAATGTTCTCTTGTATCTTGCCTGGTGTTCTCCAACCTTATCAGACATAATAGGAGAATACTCAGGCTTGCAAAAGGTTTATTCAAAAATTACACTTGTTTTAATGTCTTGACTAACATACTAACGCACATGTAAAGTACTTGATTTTACTATAAATGTAATATTAAATAACAGTTAAAAGTGAATATTTTTTTAAACGCACTAAATTTAAATGTACTGAACACACACACTGTACTTTTAACAAACCATGCTAATAATTTTCAATTAAAATGCATTATTCTTTTACGTGCTCTGCTGTAGGTTCTATACAGGTGAAACATTCTCACTTTTCCACTTAGCATGTGATTCCAGACTGAAAAGGCTGAGCGTTACAATTTGACATTAAATGTAACCCGGGAAATACATTCAACAAAACTGAGGATTTTCGATTTTTAAAACACCGAGACAAATAGCAGTCCCAAACTTTTAGGAAATACAATTAATATGAGCCACCAGTCATTTACGAATAAATATAACAAAGTGAAAAATTGGCCATTAGAGGTTATGAAAACCACAATGTTAAAGCTCCAGTCCATAACTTATTTGGGTTAAATTAAACTTCAAGTTTGAGAAAGTACGTACATAACCAGTATTAAAAACGATCTGCTTGCCTTGACTGAATTCAAAACTGTGAGCTAATAATGTTTTTAAATCCCAATCGTAGATATTTGTTATCTGCTCATATTCGATTTCACCAGTGAACACCCAAATACCTGCGTGAAAATCCTGAATTACTACAAATGAAAATTAGTGGTATTTTTTGTTTTCTTCATGACAACTTGACATTTCTCCTCACATTAGCATCACCCTACATTTAATTTCTGATAACCTAGTTCAAAGCTTGACCATCTCGGTCACTTTTTGCTGACAAATTTTCAAATTGTTTGAAACTTTTGCTGCCTAACTCCCTGCAAGATAATATAGTAATCTCTTCAATAAAGCACTTTCACGGAAAAAAATAATAATAATAATATTACCCACACAGAAAGGAGTCTTAAACATTTATTTTGTGAAACCATGCAATTTGAATAAAGCACTGAATTGATCAGAACTCCAGTTGGCTATGCGTTACGCAAAATTGGCATGGGCAGTTTGCTGGAAACCTGTGAGGGGTTTCCAATTTACCCCTGGAGGCTTGGGCGGCAGGCTTCACTGGAGGTAAACTTCACTTGAGGCTTGAACAGTTGGGCGGAAAACTTCACTGGAGCCTTAGGCCATTCAGCAGTAAGCTTCATTGGAGGCTTGGGCGGTTCTGCAGCAAGCTTCACTGGAGGCTTGGGGGCAGGCTTCATTGGAGGCATGAACAGTTTGGCAGAAAGCTTCACTGGATTCCTGGGCAGTTCGGCAGAAATCTTCACTTCAGGCTTGGGCGGGTAGATGGCAGGCTTCCTTGGAGGCGCAAGCGGTTCAGCAGCAGGATTCACTGGTTGCTTGGAGGGATCTGAAACTAGCCTCGCTGGAGGCACGGGCAGTTTAGCGGCAGGGCTCACCAGAGGCTCGGGCAGTCCGGGCCCAGGGTTGACTGGAGGCTCGGGCAGTTCGGGCGCAGGGTTGACCGGAGGCTCGGGCAGTTCGGGCGCAGGGTTGACCGGAGGCTCGGGCAGTTCGGGCGCAGGGTTGACCGGAGGCTCGGGCAGTTCGGGCGCAGGGTTGACCGGAGGCTCGGGCAGTTCGGGCGCAGGGTTGACCGGAGGCTCGGGCAGTTCGGGCGCAGGGTTCACCGGAGGCTCGGGCAGTTCGGGCGCAGGGTTCACCGGAGGCTCGGGCAGTTCGGGCGCAGGGTTCACCGGAGGCTCGGGCAGTTCGGGCGCAGGGTTGACCGGAGGCTCGGGCGCAGGGTTCACCGGAGGCTCGGGCAGTTCGGGCGCAGGGTTCACCGGAGGCTCGGGCAGTTCGGGCGCAGGGTTCACCGGAGGCTCGGGCAGTTCGGGCGCAGGGTTCACCGGAGGCTCGGGCAGTTCGGGCGCAGGGTTCACCGGAGGCTCGGGCAGTTCGGGCGCAGGGTTCACCGGAGGCTCGGGCAGTTCGGGCGCAGGGTTCACCGGAGGCTCGGGCAGTTCGGGCGCAGGGTTCACCGGAGGCTCGGGCAGTTCGGGCGCAGGGTTCACCGGAGGCTCGGGCAGTTCGGGCGCAGGGTTCACCGGAGGCTCGGGCAGTTCAGGGGCAGGCTTCACTGGAGGCCCTGCCAGTTCGCAGGCAGGCTTGACTGGAGGCCCGGCCAGTTCGCAGGCAGGCTTGACTGGAGGCCCGGCCAGTTCGCAGGCAGGCTTGACTGGAGGCCCGGCCAGTTTGACATCAGGTTTTACTGGAAGCATGGACAGTTCAGCAGCGGGCTTCATTGGAGGCTTGAATAGTTTGGCGGCAAGCATCACTGGAGGCTTGGGCACAGACTTAACTGGAGTGATAAAATTATAAAAGACAAACTGAAGAAAAAACTAGAAAGCTGACCCCAAACACTACGACAATACTAGAAGATAACACATACCTGTATTTGGAGCCATACACTGACGTCCACGTCCATTGCTGTAGCATTTCTCATTGTTCGGACAGTCACTGTCATAGGCACACAGAACGGCACACTTACCTGCACCAGATTTTTCACTTCGGCACTCTGACTTTGCTGTTATATACAGATAGGAGACAAAGAAACCTCACTGAATACAGAAGGTGTAATCCACACAAAAAAACTGACAACATTTAAAAACCATTTTGCTTATGGAAGCTTGTTTCCACTTCCAAAAAAAGAAAAGAAAAAGAAAAAAAGTTGACTAATTGACTCAATTTACCAGTTTTTCTTAGAATTATGAGATAAGGCACAACTACCCCTCTTTTTATTCTTCATGGCATAAACAAGCTTCCATAAGAGTTCAAACAGCACTGTGATCACAAGATTCAGTGCATCACGCTATCAACTGCAAATTTCAAAGCTGCATTCAGGCTCGGGGTGGGACTCAGCCAGATGCGCTAAATGCTCAGACATGTGGTTAAACACAGAAGAGTTCTGGTATGTTTTATATCTTAACAAGAATACAAAGAACTAGCAAAAACCCATGTAGTCTACTTTGTAAAATACACAGACTATCAAAATGCCAACTTCATCCAAGTCCTTAAGTCAACTTGACAATATTTTTGACACAATTTTCTACACATTGCATCATAATTAGGTTTAATCTAATCTTAAAACATTGTCCAAAATGAATGTCCCAAGTTGCTCATACAAAGTTTTAAAATAAATATTTATTTTGGATAGTTTCTCTACATAAAACATTCATCTGTCATAAATCTTACAAAGCTATAATTAGCTTACCGCTAAATCATGTCAAATCAGATTCAAACACATGCTGTAATAATCTCACTGTGAAGGCTGCGTGTCAAGTGTAGGAAACGCATCATACTTAGGAACTTGGAACAAAGCATTTCTTCGAACTTTATAATTAAGTTAAAAGATCGTCTCACCTGCGACTGCAAGTCCAGTGTCTGTTGTGCTCAAACATGCACACAAACACAATAAAACAGAAATCAACGAGCAGTAACTGTGAGTTGGCATCCTCTTGACCTGCAATCTCACAAACTCAAATTAAATAAGCGTTAGCACACACAACTACAATAAAAAATGGCGTTACTGCATCAAAAGATCTGCTGAATCCCACTAAAAACGCAGTGAAATGGTTTAAAGTGCACGCATTTTTTTTAAGGTCCAATGATGTCTAGTCTAGTCAACTCTAACCCAAATGAAACTCACCTGCAGCTTTCTTGACTAATCTTGAAGACCTTGATTAGCTTGTTCAGGTGTTTTTGATCAGGGTTGGAGGAGGGGGTCATTGCATTCGCATATGATAATAATTAGACGATTGTTATTTTCCATGGCAACACTATCAAAGCCTAGGATGATGCAACAGTGGTTCAGCATTCACGTGGTACAAGTCGGAGCTCTCAGAAAATCCCAAGTCCAAGTTGTAATGATTAAACTCCAAGACACACCTAAAGGGTAACCCTGGTCAGAACCTGACTCCACCCACTGGCAATATTTGAAAAATGCTGGAAAAGTGGGCAGTGCCCAGCGGAGGGGGGCGTGCACCTGAGACGCATCTCTTTGTATGGAACTTGCTTAAGGCCCCGTCCACACTACTGCGTTTTCGTTTAAAAACGGAGAATTAAAACGAAAACGATCTCCGTCCACACTAGCGTTTTACCTGCGTATTAGAATTTATCTCTGTCCACACTAAAACGACTGAAAAAGTGGATCACGTGACCATTCACCAACACTGGGCATGCGCGCGCCGGTGTAAACAGTGGTTGGCGAATCAGGGAAAGATACGTCATGACTGATGACACCCAATCATAGAGCCGAGCGTGAGCCTCTGCGTCATCGTTTGTAAACTCCTCCGTTTTGTCTCGTCCACACTAAAACGCCCTCCGGAGAGTCAAAACGCAAAACGCAGCTGCAGCGTTTCTAAACTTCTCCGTTTTAGGTCTTCGTTTTTCCCGTTTTAGTGTGGACGGGAGGTGCAAACGTAGCAAAAGGTCTCCGTTTTTAAACGAAAACGCAGTAGTGTGGACTGAGTCACCAACAACCGCTGTGTCACGTACCAACGCAAATATCCAATAGGAAAATTCAACTGCAGTAGCCACCGTTCAACCTGAAGAGGGCAGCACTAAGACGTTTTTACACCATATATTGTAGAAATAGAACACTTTATAAACAAATGGCAAAACTCAAATCAACGACTGGTATTAATAAAGATCCATTCTTACAGATCATTAACTAAAAAAAGTAGGTTAAGTGTTTAGTTACTCTTTAAGGACCTCAACAAGACACTTTTGGCATAAATCTGCAGAGTATAAAGAGAACGCATAAAATAATCAATAATCCAAAAACAGACAATAATTCATGAACAGACAATAATCCACATGGACATTGTGCTATGGATGTGGATCGAATACATTGCCAAATATTCACAGGATATGTATGCCATTTGCTATTATTTAATGTGAAATAGTGCTTCTCTCGTCTGTTGTCTAGAAGCAGAAGTGAAGTGAAGGGGGTGGGGGGGGGCTGTTTTCCTCTGGCCAACGAAGGAACAGTGATTACAAAACAAATTGGATCAAAACATTAAGAGTATTTGTCCATTTCCATCTATTTGGAAGTCGAAGTATTCACACCGGTTTGGAGACGAGATGTTGAGGATCAGATCCGATGGCTGTCTTGTCGATGAGGCCAGCACTTAAGGATGAGTCGGGATGGGTCCAGGCGCAGGTCAATAGCGTAGACGCCATCCTTCTTTTGATGTACCAAGTACATCAGGATTTACGGGACGTGTTCCCGGTTCTGGCTGATCTAAACTATGTAGCCTAATTTTGAATTAAGGAAGTCTATTGTGTGTAATGTGAATGCTAGGCCAAAGTGATGTGTTTTTAGTCTAGATTTGAACTGACAGAGTGTGTCTGCTTCCCGGACAATGTTAGTAAGATTGTTCCAGAGTTTTGGTGCTAAATAGGAAAAAGATCTACCGCCAGCAGTCGATTTCAATATTCTTGGTATTATCAACTGGCAGGAGTTTTGAGATCGCAATAGGCGTGAAGGACTATAATGCATTTAGAGCTCACTCAAGTACTGGGGATCTAAACAATTTAGTGCTTTGTAAGTAATCAGCAATATTTTAAAATGTATACGATGTTTAATAGGCAGCCAATGCAGGGTCGACAGAACCAGGCTTAAATGGTCATGTGGTTGGATATTCCAACAGGACAATGATCCAAAAATTTGCCATGGCCATCCCGTCCCCTGAACTTAAACAAACAATAAAAATAAATAAATAAATAAAATCAAGGATTGTTGAAATGTTCTCTTGTATCTTGCCTGGTGTTCTCCAACCTTATCAGACATAATAGGAGAATACTCAGGCTTGCAAAAGGTTTATTCAAAAATTACACTTGTTTTAATGTCTTGACTAACATACTAACGCACATGTAAAGTACTTGATTTTACTATAAATGTAATATTAAATAACAGTTAAAAGTGAATATTTTTTTAAACGCACTAAATTTAAATGTACTGAACACACACACTGTACTTTTAACAAACCATGCTAATAATTTTCAATTAAAATGCATTATTCTTTTACGTGCTCTGCTGTAGGTTCTATACAGGTGAAACATTCTCACTTTTCCACTTAGCATGTGATTCCAGACTGAAAAGGCTGAGCGTTACAATTTGACATTAAATGTAACCCGGGAAATACATTCAACAAAACTGAGGATTTTCGATTTTTAAAACACCGAGACAAATAGCAGTCCCAAACTTTTAGGAAATACAATTAATATGAGCCACCAGTCATTTACGAATAAATATAACAAAGTGAAAAATTGGCCATTAGAGGTTATGAAAACCACAATGTTAAAGCTCCAGTCCATAACTTATTTGGGTTAAATTAAACTTCAAGTTTGAGAAAGTACGTACATAACCAGTATTAAAAACGATCTGCTTGCCTTGACTGAATTCAAAACTGTGAGCTAATAATGTTTTTAAATCCCAATCGTAGATATTCAGATAGATATTTGTTATCTGCTCATATTCGATTTCACCAGTGAACACCCAAATACCTGCGTGAAAATCCTGAATTACTACAAATGAAAATTAGTGGTATTTTTTGTTTTCTTCATGACAACTTGACATTTCTCCTCACATTAGCATCACCCTACATTTAATTTCTGATAACCTAGTTCAAAGCTTGACCATCTCGGTCACTTTTTGCTGACAAATTTTCAAATTGTTTGAAACTTTTGCTGCCTAACTCCCTGCAAGATAATATAGTAATCTCTTCAATAAAGCACTTTCATGGAAAAAATTAATAATAATATTACCCACACAGAAAGGAGTCTTAAACATTTATTTTGTGAAACCATGCAATTTGAATAAAGCACTGAATTGATCAGAACTCCAGTTGGCTATGCGTTACGCAAAATTGGCATGGGCAGTTTGCTGGAAACCTGTGAGGGGTTTCCAATTTACCCCTGGAGGCTTGGGCGGCAGGCTTCACTGGAGGTAAACTTCACTTGAGGCTTGAACAGTTGGGCGGAAAACTTCACTGGAGCCTTAGGCCATTCAGCAGTAAGCTTCATTGGAGGCTTGGGCGGTTCTGCAGCAAGCTTCACTGGAGGCTTGGGGGCAGGCTTCATTGGAGGCATGAACAGTTTGGCAGAAAGCTTCACTGGATTCCTGGGCAGTTCGGCAGAAATCTTCACTTCAGGCTTGGGCGGGTAGATGGCAGGCTTCCTTGGAGGCGCAAGCGGTTCAGCAGCAGGATTCACTGGTTGCTTGGAGGGATCTAAAACTAGCCTCGCTGGAGGCACGGGCAGTTTAGCGGCAGGGCTCACCAGAGGCTCGGGCAGTCCGGGCGCAGGGTTGACCGGAGGCTCGGGCAGTTCGGGCGCAGGGTTGACCGGAGGCTCGGGCAGTTCGGGCGCAGGGTTGACCGGAGGCTCGGGCAGTTCGGGCGCAGGGTTGACCGGAGGCTCGGGCAGTTCGGGCGCAGGGTTGACCGGAGGCTCGGGCAGTTCGGGCGCAGGGTTCACCGGAGGCTCGGGCAGTTCGGGCGCAGGGTTCACCGGAGGCTCGGGCAGTTCGGGCGCAGGGTTCACCGGAGGCTCGGGCAGTTCGGGCGCAGGGTTCACCGGAGGCTCGGGCAGTTCGGGCGCAGGGTTCACCGGAGGCTCGGGCAGTTCGGGCGCAGGGTTCACCGGAGGCTCGGGCAGTTCAGGGGCAGGCTTCACAGGAGGCCCTGCCAGTTCGCAGGCAGGCTTGACTGGAGGCCCGGCCAGTTCGCAGGCAGGCTTGACTGGAGGCCCGGCCAGTTCGCAGGCAGGCTTGACTGGAGGCCCGGCCAGTTTGACATCAGGTTTTTCTGGAAGAATGGACAGTTCAGCAGCGGGCTTCATTGGAGGCTTGAATAGTTTGGCGGCAAGCATCACTGGAGGCTTGGGCACAGACTTAACTGGAGTGATAAAATTATAAAAGACAAACTGAAGAAAAAACTAGAAAGCTGACCCCAAACACTACGACAATACTAGAAGATAACACATACCTGTATTTGGAGCCATACACTGACGTCCACGTCCATTGCTGTAGCATTTCTCATTGTTCGGACAGTCACTGTCATAGGCACACAGAACGGCACACTTACCTGCACCAGATTTTTCACTTCGGCACTCTGACTTTGCTGTTATATACAGATAGGAGACAAAGAAACCTCACTGAATACAGAAGGTGTAATCCACACAAAAAAACTGACAACATTTAAAAACCATTTTGCTTATGGAAGCTTGTTTCCACTTCCAAAAAAAGAAAAGAAAAAGAAAAAAAGTTGACTAATTGACTCAATTTACCAGTTTTTCTTAGAATTATGAGATAAGGCACAACTACCCCTCTTTTTATTCTTCATGGCATAAACAAGCTTCCATAAGAGTTCAAACAGCACTGTGATCACAAGATTCAGTGCATCACGCTATCAACTGCAAATTTCAAAGCTGCATTCAGGCTCGGGGTGGGACTCAGCCAGATGCGCTAAATGCTCAGACATGTGGTTAAACACAGAAGAGTTCTGGTATGTTTTATATCTTAACAAGAACAAATGGCAAAACTCAAATCAACGACTGGTATTAATAAAGATCCATTCTTACAGATCATTAACTAAAAAAAGTAGGTTAAGTGTTTAGTTACTCTTTAAGGACCTCAACAAGACACTTTTGGCATAAATCTGCAGAGTATAAAGAGAACGCATAAAATAATCAATAATCCAAAAACAGACAATAATTCATGAACAGACAATAATCCACATGGACATTGTGCTATGGATGTGGATCGAATACATTGCCAAATATTCACAGGATATGTATGCCATTTGCTATTATTTAATGTGAAATAGTGCTTCTCTCGTCTGTTGTCTAGAAGCAGAAGTGAAGTGAAGGGGGTGGGGGGGGGCTGTTTTCCTCTGGCCAACGAAGGAACAGTGATTACAAAACAAATTGGATCAAAACATTAAGAGTATTTGTCCATTTCCATCTATTTGGAAGTCGAAGTATTCACACCGGTTTGGAGACGAGATGTTGAGGATCAGATCCGATGGCTGTCTTGTCGATGAGGCCAGCACTTAAGGATGAGTCGGGATGGGTCCAGGCGCAGGTCAATAGCGTAGACGCCATCCTTCTTTTGATGTACCAAGTACATCAGGATTTACGGGACGTGTTCCCGGTTCTGGCTGATCTAAACTATGTAGCCTAATTTTGAATTAAGGAAGTCTATTGTGTGTAATGTGAATGCTAGGCCAAAGTGATGTGTTTTTAGTCTAGATTTGAACTGACAGAGTGTGTCTGCTTCCCGGACAATGTTAGTAAGATTGTTCCAGAGTTTTGGTGCTAAATAGGAAAAGGATCTACCGCCAGCAGTCGATTTCAATATTCTTGGTATTATCAACTGGCAGGAGTTTTGAGATCGGTAATAGGCGTGAAGGACTATAATGCATTTAGAGCTCACTCAAGTACTGGGGATCTAAACAATTTAGTGCTTTGTAAGTAATCAGCAATATTTTAAAATGTATACGATGTTTAATAGGCAGCCAATGCATGGTCGACAGAACCAGGCTTAAATGGTCATGTGGTTGGATATTCCAACAGGACAATGATCCAAAAATTTGCCATGGCCATCCCGTCCCCTGACCTTAAACAAACAATAAAAATAAATAAATAAATAAAATCAAGGATTGTTGAAATGTTCTCTTGTATCTTGCCTGGTGTTCTCCAACCTTATCAGACATAATAGGAGAATACTCAGGCTTGCAAAAGGTTTATTCAAAAATTACACTTGTTTTAATGTCTTGACTAACATACTAACGCACATGTAAAGTACTTGATTTTACTATAAATGTAATATTAAATAACAGTTAAAAGTGAATATTTTTTTAAACGCACTAAATTTAAATGTACTGAACACACACACTGTACTTTTAACAAACCATGCTAATAATTTTCAATTAAAATGCATTATTCTTTTACGTGCTCTGCTGTAGGTTCTATACAGGTGAAACATTCTCACTTTTCCACTTAGCATGTGATTCCAGACTGAAAAGGCTGAGCGTTACAATTTGACATTAAATGTAACCCGGGAAATACATTCAACAAAACTGAGGATTTTCGATTTTTAAAACACCGAGACAAATAGCAGTCCCAAACTTTTAGGAAATACAATTAATATGAGCCACCAGTCATTTACGAATAAATATAACAAAGTGAAAAATTGGCCATTAGAGGTTATGAAAACCACAATGTTAAAGCTCCAGTCCATAACTTATTTGGGATAAATTAAACTTCAAGTTTGAGAAAGTACGTACATAACCAGTATTAAAAACGATCTGCTTGCCTTGACTGAATTCAAAACTGCGAGCTAATAATGTTTTTAAATCCCAATCGTAGATATTTGTTATCTGCTCATATTCGATTTCACCAGTGAACACCCAAATACCTGCGTGAAAATCCTGAATTACTACAAATGAAAATTAGTGGTATTTTTTGTTTTCTTCATGACAACTTGACATTTCTCCTCACATTAGCATCACCCTACATTTAATTTCTGATAACCTAGTTCAAAGCTTGACCATCTCGGTCACTTTTTGCTGACAAATTTTCAAATTGTTTGAAACTTTTGCTGCCTAACTCCCTGCAAGATAATATAGTAATCTCTTCAATAAAGCACTTTCACGGAAAAAAATAATAATAATAATATTACCCACACAGAAAGGAGTCTTAAACATTTATTTTGTGAAACCATGCAATTTGAATAAAGCACTGAATTGATCAGAACTCCAGTTGGCTATGCGTTACGCAAAATTGGCATGGGCAGTTTGCTGGAAACCTGTGAGGGGTTTCCAATTTACCCCTGGAGGCTTGGGCGGCAGGCTTCACTGGAGGTAAACTTCACTTGAGGCTTGAACAGTTGGGCGGAAAACTTCACTGGAGCCTTAGGCCATTCAGCAGTAAGCTTCATTGGAGGCTTGGGCGGTTCTGCAGCAAGCTTCACTGGAGGCTTGGGGGCAGGCTTCATTGGAGGCATGAACAGTTTGGCAGAAAGCTTCACTGGATTCCTGGGCAGTTCGGCAGAAATCTTCACTTCAGGCTTGGGCGGGTAGATGGCAGGCTTCCTTGGAGGCGCAAGCGGTTCAGCAGCAGGATTCACTGGTTGCTTGGAGGGATCTGAAACTAGCCTCGCTGGAGGCACGGGCAGTTTAGCGGCAGGGCTCACCAGAGGCTCGGGCAGTCCGGGCGCAGGGTTGACCAGAGGCTCGGGCAGTTCGGGCACAGGGTTGACCGGCAGTTCGGGCGCAGGGTTGACCGGAGGCTCGGGCAGTTCGGGCGCAGGGTTGACCGGAGGCTCGGGCAGTTCGGGCGCAGGGTTGACCGGAGGCTCGGGCAGTTCGGGCGCAGGGTTGACCGGAGGCTCGGGCAGTTCGGGCAGTTCGGGCGCAGGGTTCACCGGAGGCTCGGGCAGTTCGGGCGCAGGGTTCACCGGAGGCTCGGGCAGTTCGGGCGCAGGGTTCACCGGAGGCTCGGGCAGTTCGGGCGCAGGGTTCACCGGAGGCTCGGGCAGTTCGGGCGCAGGTTCACCGGAGGCTCGGGCAGTTCGGGCGCAGGGTTGACGGGAGGCTCGGTCACAGGGTTCACCGGAGGCTCGGGCAGTTCGGGCGCAGGGTTCACCGGAGGCTCGGGCAGTTCGGGCGCAGGGTTCACCGGAGGCTCGGGCAGTTCGGGTGCAGGGTTCACCGGAGGCTCGGGCAGTTCGGGCGCAGGGTTCACCGGAGGCTCGGGCAGTTCGGGCGCAGGGTTCACCGGAGGCTCGGCCAGTTCAGGGGCAGGCTTCACTGGAGGCCCTGCCAGTTCGCAGGCAGGCTTGACTGGAGGCCCGGCCAGTTCGCAGGCAGGCTTGACTGGAGGCCCGGCCAGTTCGCAGGCAGGCTTGACTGGAGGCCCGGCCAGTTCGCAGGCAGGCTTGACTGGAGGCCCGGCCAGTTTGACATCAGGTTTTTCTGGAAGCATGGACAGTTCAGCAGCGGGCTTCATTGGAGGCTTGAATAGTTTGGCGGCAAGCATCACTGGAGGCTTGGGCACAGACTTAACTGGAGTGATAAAATTATAAAAGACAAACTGAAGAAAAAACTAGAAAGCTGACCCCAAACACTACGACAATACTAGAAGATAACACATACCTGTATTTGGAGCCATACACTGACGTCCACGTCCATTGCTGTAGCATTTCTCATTGTTCGGACAGTCACTGTCATAGGCACACAGAACGGCACACTTACCTGCACCAGATTTTTCACTTCGGCACTCTGACTTTGCTGTTATATACAGATAGGAGACAAAGAAACCTCACTGAATACAGAAGGTGTAATCCACACAAAAAAACTGACAACATTTAAAAACCATTTTGCTTATGGAAGCTTGTTTCCACTTCCAAAAAAAGAAAAGAAAAAGAAAAAAAGTTGACTAATTGACTCAATTTACCAGTTTTTCTTAGAATTATGAGATAAGGCACAACTACCCCTCTTTTTATTCTTCATGGCATAAACAAGCTTCCATAAGAGTTCAAACAGCACTGTGATCACAAGATTCAGTGCATCACGCTATCAACTGCAAATTTCAAAGCCGCATTCAGGCTCGGGGTGGGACTCAGCCAGATGTGCTAAATGCTCAGACATGTGGTTAAACACAGAAGAGTTCTGGTATGTTTTATATCTTAACAAGAATACAAAGAACTAGCAAAAACCCATGTAGTCTACTTTGTAAAATACACAGACTATCAAAATGCCAACTTCATCCAAGTCCTTAAGTCAACTTGACAATATTTTTGACACAATTTTCTACACATTGCATCATAATTAGGTTTAATCTAATCTTAAAACATTGTCCAAAATGAATGTCCCAAGTTGCTCATACAAAGTTTTAAAATAAATATTTATTTTGGATAGTTTCTCTACATAAAACATTCATCTGTCATAAATCTTACAAAGCTATAATTAGCTTACCGCTAAATCAGATTCAAACACTGTACAATGCTGTAATAATCTCACTGTGAAGGCTACGTGTCAAGTGTAGGAAACGCGTCATACTTAGGAACTTGGAACAAAGCATTTCTTCGAACTTTATAATTAAGTTAAAAGATCGTCTCACCTGCGACTGCAAGTCCAGTGTCTGTTGTGCTCAAACATGCACACAAACACAATAAAACAGAAATCAACGAGCAGTAACTGTGAGTTGGCATCCTCTTGACCTGCAATCTCACAAACTCAAATTAAATAAGCGTTAGCACACACAACTACAATAAAAAATGGCGTTACTGCATCAAAACATCTGCTGAATCCCACTAAAAACACAGTGAAATGGTTTAAAGTGCACGCATTTTTTTAAGGTCCAATGATGTCTAGTCTAGTCAACTCTAACCCAAATGAAACTCACCTGCAGCTTTCTTGACTAATCTTGAAGACCTTGATTAGCTTGTTCAGGTGTTTTTGATCAGGGTTGGAGGAGGGGGTCATTGCATTCGCATATGATAATAATTAGACGATTGTTATTTTCCATGGCAACACTATCAAAGCCTAGGATGATGCAACAGTGGTTCAGCATTCACGTGGTACAAGTCGGAGCTCTCAGAAAATCCCAAGTCCAAGTTGTAATGATTAAACTCCAAGACACACCTAAAGGGTAACCCTGGTCAGAACCTGACTCCACCCATTGGCAATATTTGAAAAATGCTGGAAAAGTGGGCAGTGCCCAGCGGAGGGGGGCGTGCACCTGAGACGCATCTCTTTGTATGGAACTTGCTTAAGGCCCCGTCCACACTAATGCGTTTTCGTTTAAAAACGGAGAATTAAAACGAAAACGATCTCCGTCCACACTAGCGTTTTACCTGCGTATTAGAATTTATCTCTGTCCACACTAAAACGACTGAAAAAGTGGATCACGTGACCATTCACCAACACTGGGCATGCGCGCGCCGGTGTAAACAGTGGTTGGCGAATCAGGGAAAGATACGTCATGACTGATGACACCCAATCATAGAGCCGAGCGTGAGCCTCTGCGTCATCGTTTGTAAACTCCTCCGTTTTGTCTCGTCCACACTAAAACGCCCTCCGGAGAGTCAAAACGCAAAACGCAGCTGCAGCGTTTCTAAACTTCTCCGTTTTAGGTCTTCGTTTTTCCCGTTTTAGTGTGGACGGGAGGTGCAAACGTAGCAAAAGGTCTCCGTTTTTAAACGAAAACGCAGTAGTGTGGACTGAGTCACCAACAACCGCTGTGTCACGTACCAACGCAAATATCCAATAGGAAAATTCAACTGCAGTAGCCACCGTTCAACCTGAAGAGGGCAGCACTAAGACGTTTTTACACCATATATTGTAGAAATAGAACACTTTATAAACAAATGGCAAAACTCAAATCAACGACTGGTATTAATAAAGATCCATTCTTACAGATCATTAACTAAAAAAAGTAGTGTGGTATGGGGGGCGTGGTTCAGCGCTGTCTGCAGCGGGAGAGCGGGGGAGGAGTCGAGCGGGAAGTAAGCGGGTCAAGTGCAAATGATAAACACCTGTCTGTGATTGCAGTGATTGGCGTTGGGAGAGTATATAAGCGGCTCAGTGAGACGCTTCTTTTGAGAGAGTCTGGAGCTTGTGTGCAGACACCGGGAGCTGGAAAGCTGTGAACAGAGGAACTGTCAGAAACCCAAGGAAGCTGTGGATCAGCGGGAACGAGTCTGTGATATTATTTTGTTGATGTTACGTTGAAGCGCGCAGTCGCTGTGGAAAGAGTATTTTTATTTGATCTGTCTGAATAAAGCACACAAGCTCCAGTATTTGCCGACCCCTTTTGCCTTCTTCCATCACATCGTCTGAACCTTACCACACTGGTGCCGAAACCCGGGATGGAAGAAGCAGCCGCCGCCAGGAATCCTCTGTCTTCGCCATTTGCGGAGATCATCCAGGGGCTCGCGGGCTTGCATCAGCAACACCAGGCAGCCCTGTTGAAGATGGAGGAGCAGCAGGAACGACGCTTCGACGCGCTCCTCCAGGAACAACGGGAGGCCCGCGAGCAGTTCCGGAGCTGGGTGGACCAGGGGGTCCGCTCCCCGCCCGCGGCCCCAGCCCTCCACAAGATGGGGCCGCTCGACGATCCGGAGGCCTTCCTGGACCTCTTTGAGAGGACGGCCGGGGCGGGGAAGTGGCCGGAAACTGACTGGCCGCTGCGCCTCATTCCACTACTGTCCGGGGAGGCGCAGCTCGCCGCCCAACAACTGCCAGTCAGCAGCCTCCTGGTCTACCAGGACCTCAAGCGTGCCATCTTGCAGCGGGTCGGTCGATCTCCGGAGCAAAGCCGCCAGCGGTTCCGTTCCCTAGAGCTGGGGGAGGTCGGCCGACCCTTCGTCTTCGCACAGCAGCTCCGGGACGCCTGCCGCAAATGGCTGGTGGCCGAGGGCCGCGACGTCGAAGGAGTCATCGAGCTGGTGGTGCTGGAGCAGTTTATCACCAAGCTACCCAAGAAAACCGCTCAGTGGGTCCAGTGCCACCGGCCGACGTCGCTGGACCAGGCCATCACGTTGGCGGAGGACCAGCTGGTGGCGTGCCCAGGGGTCGGCGAGCCACAACCATCATCTTCTCTCTCTCTCTCTCTCCCCTCTCCCTCTCCCTCTCGCCCTGTCCCCGCTCCCAGGTCTCGAGGTGGATTTCCCCCGCGACCAGCACCCCGCTGGAGGTCCGGCCCCAGCACGGAGGCGCCCCGTGCTCCACCTCGGGGAGGATCCCTGCCTGGGAGCGTTCCGGCGTCCGCTGGCCCCGCGCTCTCCCAACGCCAATCCCTTGACCCGCTTCCCGCCGCCGGAGTGGCGGGGAGGCCTGGGCCGGCCTGTTGGCGTTGTGGGGACCCGGGGCACTTTATCGACAGGTGTCCATTGATGGAGGTGGACACCTTCATTCGGGTCCCCTATGCGCCACAGGCTGCCCCCGATCAGACTGGGCTGTATCAGATACCCGTGAGTATTAAGGGGGTTACGTGTCAAGCTTTGGTGGATTCAGGTTGTAACCAGACCTCCATCCACCAAAGCTTGATTCAGCCAGGGGCATTGGATAAGAGCCGCGAGGTTATGGTGCGGTGTGTGCACGGCGAGGTGATGGGGTATCCCGTCGTGCCAGTCATCATCCGATTTAGGGGACAAAAACATAGTGTGGAGGTGGCAGTTAATCCGCACCTCCGGCACCCGCTGATTTTGGGTACCAATTGGCCGGGGTTTCAATCGTTATTGGCTTGTTTGTGTGCGGGTGCTCCTGGGAAAAAACAACGGCACCGGGGGGGGGCGACTGTTCAGGCCGGCGAAGCTGTTCCGGGACCATCGGCGGCTGAGCCAGAGGAACGGAACGGGGCCGAGATACCCATCTTTTCGGTCCGTGATGATTTTCCTCTGGAACAGTCCCGAGATGATACGCTAAAAAACGCGTTTGAACGGGTCCAGGTCATCGACGGGCAGCCGGTGCGGCCCGATCAGCCGCTCACGTACCCATATTTTGCCATGATTAAAGATAGGTTGTATCGGGTGACTCAGGACATCCAGACAAAGCAAGATACAACCCAGTTGTTAGTACCTAAAAGCCGTCGGGAAATGCTTTTCCAGGCGGCTCATTCTAATCCGATGGCTGGACACCTCGGGCAGACAGCCACGTTAAATCGTTTAATGGCCCGATTCTTTTGGCCGGGCATTCATGAGAATGTGCGCAGGTGGTGCGCGTCTTGTCATGAATGTCAGTTAGTGAACCCTCCGGCCCATAGTAAAGCACCATTGTGCCCCCTGCCGTTAGTCGAGGTCCCCTTCGAGCGAATTGGCATGGACCTCATCGGGCCATTAGAGCGATCAGCACGGGGGCATCGCTTTGCATTAGTCCTGGTGGATTATGCCACGCGATACCCTGAAGCAGTCCCACTACGCAATATTTCGGCTAAAAGCGTTGCGAGTGCGCTGTTTCAATTAATCTCCCGGGTGGGAATCCCAAAAGAGATTCTCACCGATCAGGGCACGGCGTTTATGTCACGTACGATACGCGAACTATATGAATTATTGGGCATTAAATCGATTCGCACCAGCGTCTATCACCCACAAACCGACGGTCTGGTAGAACGATTTAATCGCACGTTAAAATCCATGATTCGTAAGTTCGTGCGGGAAGACGCCAAAAATTGGGATAAGTGGTTGGAACCCCTCTTGTTCGCTGTACGGGAGGTCCCCCAAGCCTCCACGGGGTTTTCCCCCTTTGAGCTTCTCTATGGACGCCAGCCCCGCGGGGTTTTGGATGTCCTTAGGGAGGCTTGGGAGGACGGACCTTCTAATAGCAAAAACGAAATTCAGTATGTCCTGGACCTGCGAACAAAACTCCACACTTTGGGGCGGCTCTCTATGGAGAATTTGTTACAGGCTCAGGACAGACAAAGTCGGCTGTACAATAGGGGGGCTAAGCTACGTAAATTTGCACCGGGAGATAAAGTGCTCGTATTACTTCCCACATCCAGCTCGAAATTACTCGCCAAGTGGCAAGGACCGTTTGTGGTTACACGGCGAGTTAATGATCTTAACTATGAAATCATTCGTTCAGATAGGGGGGGAGCACATCAGACATACCACCTCAACCTCCTTAAAAAATGGAATGAGGTGGAGTCAGCGATGCTGGCGACGGTGGTGAGTGGGGAGGAGGATCTCGGGCCAGAGGCGAATGTAAAAGTGCAATCCCGCCCTCTGGCCGCTTGTGGGGACCACCTCTCACCGTCCCAGATCGCTGACATCCAACAGCTACAAGCGGAATTCGCAGATGTGTTCTCACCCCTCCCTGGCCGAACGAATCTCATACAGCACCACGTTGAGACGGAGCCGGGCGTGGTGGTTCGCAGCCGGCCATATAGATTACCTGAACATAAGAAAAAGGTAGTTCAGGATGAATTAGCGGCGATGCTGGATATGGGGGTAATAGAGGAATCCAACAGTGACTGGGCAAGCCCGATAGTTTTAGTGCCTAAAACCGACGGCACCGTCCGGTTCTGTGTGGATTACCGCAAGGTGAATGCTGTATCGAAGTTCGATGCATATCCAATGCCCAGGGTTGACGAGTTACTCGATCGGCTAGGCACGGCTCGGTTTTATTCGACACTGGATTTAACGAAGGGATATTGGCAGATCCCCTTATCTCCAATGTCCAAAGAAAAGACTGCTTTCACGACGCCGTTCGGATTACACCAATTTGTCACCCTTCCGTTCGGTTTGTTCGGGGCACCTGCCACCTTCCAGCGCTTGATGGACCGGATTCTACGGCCGCATGCTGCATATGCTGCGGCGTACTTGGATGACATTATCATCTATAGTAACGATTGGCCGCGGCATGTGCAGCATTTGCGAGCGGT